GCAAAGGACTAGGTGAGCCCTGGACATTTTGGTAGGAAAAGAAGGCAGGCTTACAAACTGCTTGGAGCTACCCTAAAGGCTCCCTCCAGGGCAACAGGAGTGATCAGAAGAAGCAAAACGTAAAATGTTGAGTTGAAAAACAAATTCATGAACCATAATGATTCTAAAGGGACAGAGTAGCAGTAGAAAGAAGGAAAATCTCTATTTACAGAAGACAATATCACCTATTATGTGTAGAAGGAATGACAGAAAAATCACTACTTTACCTTGCAAACACATTTATCACCACTGAAGAAAATGGGTAAAATAATAGGCCCCATTGTTTTTCTGTTTGTTTGTTTTGTTTTTTTGTCTTTTTGAGACAGGGTCTCACTATGCAGTTCAGGCTGGACTTGAGCTCACTTTGTAGCCCAGGCAGGTCTTAAATTTGCAATGATTCTCCTGCCTCAGCCTCCTGAGTGCTGGGATTACAGGCGTGTGCCACTATGTCTGGCTAATAGGCCCCAGTTTGTTTTTTTTGGTTTTTGGGTTTTTTCCCAGTACTGGGAATCAAACTCACGACCTCACACTTGCCAGGCAGGCGCTGTGCCACTGAGCTAAATCCCCAGCCCCTAGGCCCCAGTTTTTAAAAATTATCAGTGTCATGAAAGACACCGCTCACAAAAACAAAAACAAAACCAAAACCAAAACACCTAAAACATATTGCGGAACCGCTCAGGATTAATGGACACTAGAGAGACATGATAAATAAAACCAATGTCTAATTTACATCCTGGATTAAAAAAAATGATGGTCATAAAACACATTATTGATACAATTAGGATAACAGAAATATGGATTATATTTTAAATAGCATAATAAATAACAGTAAGCTACGTCTGAGTAATGATTTACTATGGCTAATAAGACAATAGCCTTTTTCCTAAATGATGCATGCTGAAGTAATTAAGGGTGAAGAAATCTCGTAATTTACAACTTACCCTCACATGGTTTACACACAAATATGTACGTTTGTGCACATGTGGGTCTGTCATACTAGGAGGTGTGCCCCACAGCTCCCCTGCTCCACTGTCTGAGCTGCTCACCTTCAACTCAGTACCAGCCGTGAATTAGACACACCGCGGTACCTCAGTCCACTAACTTAATTTGTTCCACTATTCTAGGCACGATGGCCACTGTCATGTTTGTCACCCAATGCAGAGTTTGCAAACGGAAGCAAAATTCTGCCTATTGCTTCTGTTTGCAAATCGAATTGTTCCTGAACAGAAGCATTTTTTGTGTGTGTGTTTTTGAGACAGGGTCTTGCTATGCAGTTCAGGCTGGCCTCGAACTTGGAACGATCCTCCTGCCTCAGCCTCCCAAGTGCTGGGATTACAGGCGTGCGCCACCACGCCCGGCTAACAGAAGCATTTCTGAACCAAGGTATTACTGTACAAAATTTAAGGAAAGGAAGACACTTCATTGGAAAAAGGAATAAAGGAGATAGCTAGCTACCCAGATAAGAATCTGAGCAGGGGGCTCCAGAAAGATACAGAACCCACAGGCTCTTTGTTCCTGACTTCTTTTATTGGGTGCCAGGGCCCTTCCCTCTACCCGGAACTTGTCATAACCTGACTGGTTGCTCTGGGCTGTCACAGATGGGTCCCAGGCCTCAAAGCCCTAACCTGGGGTCCCACTGTCTACATGCACGTTGCTAAGTTGGTCCACTTGTCCTTGTCAGGGCCTTGTCTCTGGAATTTATACGGGGAGATTAGGAAGAGCCTTACATATAAGTTTGAGTTAGTGATTTACCTAGTGCGGTAATAGACTGGCCCTACAGTGGGAATCCATCCATCCATCTATCTATCTATCTCTCTATACATGTATGTATATATGTATATAGATGCATACGTGTGTATTCCCATAAATAAGAGTTCTTTTAAGTGGCCACCTCTTGTCTCCTCTGCATTTCACTGGAGGTGGGAGGGCGGCTACCTTGGTCTGGAGCACCTGGCTTCTCCTGTGCTCTATCTCTCACCTCCCCTCTTGTCCTGTTAACTGCTCTCTCCAATAAAGTTTTAACTCTTCCTAGTCAAGATTTGCCTAGGAAGCCTGACAAGGCCCTTATTTTATGTATTTTTACCTGCCTACAGGCTCCTTTCTCCCACAGATTTATAAATTTTTGGGTTCAACATCCTATTCTTTTCAACCTTATTAGGTTTGATATTTTGCAAAATAAAAGTTAGTGAACAAGGAAGTTCCTAAAGAATTCCAAGCAACGGATGTCACAATCCGACCTTTATTCTAGCACGATTATTCTCAGAGAATTTATTTCAGAAAGGGGCAAACTGAGAATAAGAGGCCAGAGGTCAATTTATCATGAAGATAATGACACTGAAGCTTAAAGGCCCTTCCTTCTCTTCCGGCTCATTTCCAAAGCCCTGGGAGGAACTTGAACAATATTCTTCCACATGGTCATAAGATTTGCCAAATCTGCAATGGAATTATATTTGATTGAGATCACTCTCTATTTCCACTCTAATTAAATTTATCTTGCACCAGGCAGCTTTCCAGGAATCATGGTTATCTGGGGAATTCTTCTATAAGGGGAAATTTAAATTTAGGTTTTGTAACTTTAGGTTTTAGAAGTGGCTTGCAGTCACTCGCTTGAGCAGTGAAGTGTTTGATAACTGTCCTAGTACAGGAATGACCTCCAGGGACATCTCTGCCACCTATAGCACACGCTTATTTGGCAGCAGACACTAGAAGGCTGAGTTGGAATATGAACACAACACACACTAGTGTCTCAGGCCAGAAGATGTGAAGAGTGAAGAAATATGCCAGGAGAAAACCTCATTACCATCTTCTTCTCCCTCAGAAAATACCAGTCACAAAATGATCAAAAACCACACAGCCCAGAAAGACCACTGAGTTTGAGATTTATTTAAAATATAGAATCAAAGGAGCAAGCCGGGTGTGGTGGCACATGCCTGTAATCCCAGCACTCAGGAGGCTGAGGCAGGAGGGTCCTTGCGAGTTCGAGGCCAGTGAGGCTACAAAGTGAGCTCAAAGCCAGCCTGAACTGCATAGCAAGACCCTGTCTCAAAAAACAAACAAACAAACAAACAAACAACAAATCAAAGGAGCTTCTTAATGAACCAGACATGGAGGGTGGAGAAAAAGGTGAGTCTGGCAAGGTCCTAGTTCAGATGCAGGAAGAGACTTTGCATTATTCACTGAAGCGGGGGGGGGGGATTGGTGGTGGAGAACTGCATGGGTGGAGACATGGGTCAGGAGCAAGCCTGGACAATCACTGTGTGTTTATGGAGGAGTGACAAGCAGGCTAAGGGTCTGCGTAAAGAGCAAGAGGGAGAGTCACAGGATGGAGCCCCAGGAAGCAATTCTGCCATATTTAGCGCTCACTGTTGGGGTGAAGGGGAATTAGAAGCAAAGGGAGAGGCATGTCTGAATACTCTCAAGGGGAGAATTCTAACTAAAATGTGTTAAATTTGTTATAGACACATTCGTTTGAATGTAAAGTATATAGGGGCTGGGGATTTAGCTCAGTGGCAAAAGCGCCTGCCTGGCAAGCGCAAGGTTGTGAGTTCGGTTCCCGGTACTGGAGAAAAACCACAAAAAAATAAAAAAAATAAAAATAAAAATAAAGTATATAAAGTTAAAGATGTAACTGGCAACCCCACATGAGAACTTGGTGTGAACCTGAAATTCAAAGTGAGATAATAATAGGCTAGAAAAAGGAACTGGAGGAAGTGGAGTCAGGAAGTATGGATTACTCTTTCAAGAACCATGACCAGAAGGGAAAAAAGCAGAAGGACAGGGAGGAGGAAAAAGAGAAGGAGGAGGGCAAGGAGAAGGAAGAGAAAAGACAAAACAGCGGAGAGGATACAGGGTCAAGTGCAGGTCAAGCTTGCTGTATTTGTATCTACTAGCGCTAAACATACACCAAGCCTGTGACCCAGCAGTCCTACTCTAGGGAACAACCTAAGGATCATCAAAAGGAGAATGGATACATCAATTATGGCATATTCATACAAAAGAATTTAAAGCAATAAAAAGAGCAAAGTCCAGATAAGCACTACGTACAGTACTATATAATTCCACCTGTATGAAGTTCAAGAATACGTAACACGAATCTGTGCTGTTAAAGCGGGAACAGCAGTTACCTCTGAGGAGAGAGGTTATTATGGGGGAAAGAGGCCTGAGGGAACAGGCTGGGAATTTAGCTCAGTGGCACAGCGCCTGCCTGGCAAGTGCAAGTTCATGAGTTCGATTCCCGGTACTGGTGGACAAAAAAAGAGGCCTGGGGGAGTCTCCAGGAGTGCTACAAGTGATGTGTTCAAAGGAACAAACACATTCAGCTATACCCTAAAACTAATGAGCTTCATGTCCTTTACTTTGCTAAACAACAACAACAACAAAAAGTTAAAAAAAGTAATGAATACAAATAATAGTGGCAGCTTTACTGAGGAAATGCCACTGAGAAGATCCAGAAAGCACTACCAAATCTTAGTGACTCTTCAGCTGGCCCTGAATTATTTAACAACTGTCTGCAGAGCAGTAACAACTGGAACCACCTTTCCTCAGACACTGCTGTCAAGTGTTTTGGTGTCACCATCACCTACCTCAAAATTCTGTTCCCACGCCCACATCTGTATCTGCACAATCCACCCTTCCAACTGGACAGACCTCTGAACTATCAGAAAGAGCTTTCTAGGGCTCAGTGCCAGCCTAATATCTTTCATATATCAAAAGAACAGACCAGCTGACCTCTTTCAAGACCGTGGAAGAACAATTTAAGACACATCGGTAGCAGCAGACTCACAACGGAAGTTGGTGGTTCTCTTTTGCTGTATTATCATATCAAGTGACAGAGACAATAGCAAGTATGTGAACCCATGATTTGGGGCTTCAAACAAAACCTATTAATTATTAATAAATTTAGCTCTACTTAAACTTACTTACTTGCATCCTCATTCTCATGATGAAAATTCAGTACTTACCATTTTGTCTGGTACCAACTGCAGCAATGATGACTGGAATTGAATTTAATGCTCTTTTTATTACTGGAATATAATTATCCTTTACTTCATGGAATGAAAACTTGTCGTTTACATTGTACTTGATCACAATGATGTCAGCACTCCCAATCAGGTTTCGAGACGTGTACCAATCGCTGTCAAAAATGTCCTAGACCAAAATGCAGACAGCAAGCTTTAGTCTACTCATCTTTAAATCAATCATGAAACACACGATAGTATACTAGTTCAGATGTTTTGCTACCTTTTAATTTTTGGAATTAACAGAATTTGTTTTTCAATAGGTAACTACATAAAGTTTAAAATGTTTGCTGCCAACTCTTTTTTAAAAAATTTGTATGCGTTTAGCTCATTCACTGGCTAGACAAGCTACTGAAAGAATTCTTGAGTCTGATAAAATAAGCAACCTCTTTCAAAGTCTATACTTCAGAATAGGCACTTCGTTTTAAAATTATGCTGCTTTTAATCACTAATAATTTCAAAAATGTAACAACACAGCGTTAGATGCAAGACTATCAGCAGAGGCAACGAAGCTTCAGAAGATTTTCTGTGACCTAGATAGACACTGCAGAATTTTCCAGTATTTCAAATTGCAACATACTGTGAATCGTGTACATTCCCTAAATTGTATTCACATCTGAAAAATTCACACATACTTTCAATTCATACTGTGTGTTAAAGGGAAAGTAGGAGGTATGTGTCCAAAACACATACTGTGGAAGATGATAACATGGGAAGGTACATAACTGCAATGCATGTATTTTGCTCACATAATTCAGGACAGACCTTTCTAGCTCTAAAATCTTGACTTTTGTACTATCATTTATAATGTTTCTATTCAGAATTGGGGTCATAAGTAACTTCATGTGCAAACAGTAGTGTAAAGAAAATATTGTTATGTATTCTAATTCTGCTGCCAAATATGCACCAGTTGCTTTTTCTCATAGCCTAGTTAACTATTAATCATTACTTGTCCTTTCCTATGGCCTTTGGTATGTATCTCTTGGATGCAATAAAGCAAGATTAAGGAAATAAGAAAGCTAGATGTGGCTAAGCAGTCCAAACTCTGTTGGGCTATGGAAGTTGGCACTTTGAAATGTGAATCCAAAGCAGGGTTAATAAAGTTCAAATCAACTAGTCAAGATCAAATTGTTGAGACAGACCTTTTATCCTACGATGGAACAGTCTATATAGCATGGAGGCACCTTATATAGGAGTGCCCTTTGGAGAATAGAAGTGCTTCCCCCATTCCCCACACCCGCCCCCACCTGTCTGTCTCTCACAAGCACCCTCTGAGAATTGCAGAATTTTTAGACATAAATCCATTAGTGAAAGTGGAATGGACAGAGCAGGTTTGAAGGAAGTTTAGGTGACCAACACACAAGAAAAGGCAAACTGGACTATCCAGTTTGGATAGGGAAAAGATTGAATAGAAGGGACTGAATCTGGTAGAGTGTAAAGGGCTTGCGCCGAAAACCATACAGGACGCAGCCCAAGAACACGGGAACCCTTCCCAGCCGACTTTACACCAACTTCCACATTCCAAACCACAAACCCACTCAGTCCCAATTGTATCTTTACACTATTCAAGCTCAAAGTACTCCAGTACAACAGAGTATAAAACAAAAAAAACAAGATAAAGTCAGAAAAACAGTATTCATAACTGAATATATATGGCACCAATACTAAGCAACCACATAACTCTGGGAGAATAAATCAAAAGTAGCTGCTTTACACATTCCAAAGAGTTCAAATTCTAGACTTGCTGGAGAGGCATACGGGGAAGAAGAGATGTTTAAGGGAAAATGTCATGGGAAAAAAATGTGTTTGGGAGCTGGGCATGGTCGTCCAAGCCCGTAGTCCTGGCACTCAAGAGGCTAAGGCAGGAGGATCACTACAAATTCTCAACCAGCCTATGCTAGTGAGTTTAAGGCCATCCTGAAATACATAGTAAGACCCTGTCTTAAAAAAAAAAAGTTTGGGCATCACGAACATCTACAGTATTGAGGCCATAAACACTAAGTACTTTTACCTGTAAAACAAATCAGAAGCTGGGTGTGGTGGCACACACCTATAATCTCAGCACTCCAGAGGTTCAGGCTGGAGAATCACTGCCACTTTTGAGGTCAGCCTGGGCTACACAGTGAGTTCAAGGCCAGTCTGAACTACATAAGGAGACTTTGTCAAGAAAAGAAAAAAAAAGAAAGAGAGAAAGGAAAAAAAAAAACCTAGATTTTAAACCTGCAGAAGAGCTGGGCATGGTGACACACTCCTATAATCCCAGCACTTGGGAAGCTGAAGCAGCAGGACTGCTTCAAAAAAAAGGGTTTGAGTCCAGCCTTAGTTACAAAGTGAGTTCAAGGCCAGCCTGAACTGCATAGTGAAACACCATCTCAAAAAGACAAACAAACAAAACAAAATAAAAAAGCCTGCAGAAAAAAATTATGAATGTATTACTACAATGTCTTTTTACAAAATATGTTTGGTAAACAGGAAACATCTAAAAATGTGAAATGAAATAGTAATATAACTGCATAAAAAAGGTTAATAAGAGAGAATGATAATAAATAATGGGCTACATCTAATGAACTTGAAGCACATTTCTTTTAGAAATGCCAACTATGTACAACAAGAAGTCAGAGTAAGGTCAAGGATCGACACAAAATAACTAGAAAAGAAGCACAACTACTTCATTCCAACCCCAAGGCAGCAACAACTCATTTCTTTTTGAGCTATGCCTAAGGGAAAATGCTCCACTGCCTTAGAGAATTATGAAGGAAATCAAATTCTCCCACCCCTTGTAAATCAGTTCCAGGATTTCCTCTAGGGGGTTATGCAACAGAAGGCCTGGAGCTACATCTGGAGAAATGAACTCATCTTTTAAAACAAAATCTAAATTTCTACAAGGAAAGAATTTTATTCTACTTGATTGCGTGCCTGTAAATACAGCATTTACTAGTTGCTAAAACTGCTGTCTAGATCTACTCTATTGGTATAGGTTTTTGAGTGATGTTAGGAAACTTTGTTTAGTATGAGTGATACATTGTACTACAGTTATAATAAACACTGTGTTATAACAGTAGCCACCCTTCCCATCACTCCACACCAGCCACTGTGTTTAGAAAACTTTACCCTACTATCTCACTTTCCCCTCAGCACAGCCCTAGGAAGCACAGATTATTATGATCACTCTGTAGGCAGGGAATTAAGGCAAAGAGGAGGTAAATGATTTACCAGACACAACAGATCTGAAATCACATCCTTTTGGTATCAAAATTTGTGCTCTACCTGCTCTGCTATGTTTAATATTCTGATTCAGGATATATGTCAGTAACAGCTGAGTAACACCATCAATTCTAGTATCCCTGAAGATCTTTACTTACTACCAAGAGAAAAAAAAAAAAAAAAAACCTTAGAATGAAGAACTCTGCAAATGTAACCTACTAGGTGTGAGGACCCATTACAAACTGGCCCATTATTTTCTCTACGTTAATTTACTCCTTTCACTAACCTTTCATTCAACTGCATGTAGAACCAATAAGGCTTTTCACTGTAAGATCTTTCAAAATGAAAGGGCCAAAGGAAAAGAAAGATTTCATTTGCTTGTGTAGACTCCTGCCAAGGAGTTCTCCATAGAAGCTTCTGAGGGACACCACCACCAGTCTTTCTGAAGAGTTTAACAGCAGCCCTTACACTGAAAGGGCCTGCTTGTAGCTTATTTTAGCACATGAACATAACTTTCTTTTCATTGAAAATGGATGTGGAAAACTGATTTTTTTTTCCATAATGTGGAAATTGGCATAAACATTTTTTTAAAGTACATTCTTTCTTTTCTTTTTTTGGGGAGGTGGGGGTGGGTACTGGGTCTTGCTATGTAGTTCAGGCTGGCCCTGAACTCATTATGTGGCCCAGGCTCCGTGATCCTCCTGCCTCAACTTCCCGAATGCTGGAATTACAGGCGTGTGCCACCATGCCCAGGTTACATACCGCTTTAGAGAGGTATGCTACTTCCCTATAGCCCTGATTCATTGTTTTTCAAATTGCTGTTTGAAAGTAAAACCTCACATAACGCTAATTTGTGCTTTGTTGTTGTTGTTTATTGGTTTTTTTTTTTTTTTTTTTTTTTTTCCGGTACGGGTAATCGAACCCAGGACCTTGCGCTTGCCAGGCAGGGGCTGTGCCACTGAGCTGTATCCCCGGGCCTGTGTTTTCTTTTTCAAACAGTTTCTTCTGTTACAAAAAATGCAGTCTTTAACCATAATATATGTAACTCCAATACCAGTAAAGAACCTGACATTCTCAAAGAGGATTAAATAAAAATATTCATTTATAGATCGTTAATATTTTACAGTGTACTGAAAATGTGCAAGAAACAAAGTCCTTCATCTCTTTATAAAGCACCAAGAATTCGGCTAAAATGTATCTACTTTACTATAATTTAATTCAATTAGCACAAATCTTAAAGGTTTTTAAAAACTTCTCCCGGACGTGGTGGTACACGCCTGTAATCCCAGCACTGAGGAGGCTGAGGCAGGAGGATTGCTCCAGATTCGAGGCCAGCCTGGGCTACAAAGTGAGTTGAAGGCCAGCCTGAAGCGCATAGCGAGACCTGTCTCAAAAAGAAAAAAAAAATTTTTTTCCAGCAACATTAATTTCTGATTGATGGGCCATTAACCACAAACGACTAATATAAAAATGTATTTGCATTATTAAAATTGAAAACACTAAACTTTTTCAGACGTGCTACAAGCAAGTCGTTTGAAATTAATTTTCAGTCCCTGTCCCCTCGCCCCACCCGTTTCCACAGATACTATTTCTGATCGGTCCCAGTGCCTGTGCTGAGCTCTGCGAGGGCCGTATTTATAGCACACTACTACCCTATCCTCCACAGGGCTGGCACGAGAAAGCACTGCTCTTTGCTAAGAGAGCTGGCGACCCCGTCCCCGGGGCTGGCACAGTCCACTGTCAGCTGTCTACGAAGGCGCAGCTCACAGCGGAGCGCAGAGCAAGCGCTGGGGATTTGCCGGGCTCTCGGCCGTGCAGCCGGTTAGCGTTCTCCGTCCCGTCCCCGGCCCTGAAACAAAGGCTCGAAGATGCTCCCCAAAACGCCCCCCAACCAAAACCCCGACCCCGGGGCCGCGGCCCCTCCGCTCGCTCGCGCAGAGGGGGCGCGGCCGCGCGCTCACCCAGACGGGACAGTCGTGCACCAGCAGCCGGACGTTCCCGAACGCGCTGGCCTGGTACTCGGCGAACGCCGGCCGCGCCAGCGCGCCCGCCGCGCTCGGCACCAAGCCGCCGTCGTCCCCGGAGACCAGCGGGCTTCTGCCCAGGTAGGTGCGGATGAGCCCCGCCGGCCGCGGGTCCTGGTGGGACGCGTCGCCCTCGTTGCCCAGCGCCACGATGCGGATGGACCTGCGGG